TGGAAGGGGAGGAGGACCACCCCTATCAGTGGACTGGAGGAGGGGCCTGGGAAGAGAAGAGGATGGGTGGGTGTGATTGGGAGGGGACAAGAAAGAAGGCTACAGCTGGGATACAAAGTGAATAATTTTAATTAATAAAAATATTAATGAAAAAAGAAATACACAGATATATATTGGGCTGGTGAGATGGTTTAATAGGAAAGTTTGTTTTAGTTTAGTTTAGTTTTGTTTGTTTGTTTTTTAATGCCAAGCCTCATAACCTAAGCTTGATCTCTGGGATACACATAGTGGAAGAAGAGAACCTACTTTCTTTACAAGTTGTCCTCTGACCTCCACATTCATATGGTCACACATGGACCATCCTTTCACAAAAGTAAATGTATAAAAAAATATATATATATACATATATATATATATAAATATTGTGAATATTCTGAAAACTATGATTTTTAGTTAATCCATAAACATTTTATATATTAATATTACAATTCTTTTAAATTTTACTGAGACATGAAATTTAGCCTTTCTTATAGAATATCCCACACACTTAAAAAATAGTGTATTCTACCATAATTTGGCGTATTGTTCTATAAACATCATGTGGATCTGGTTGACTATCCAGATCTCAGCACTATCTCCCAATTTTTTCTACTTATCCTAACAATTATGAAGATGAACATAATCAAATATTTTTCTATCTTTTCACTATTATCAGATCTATCAATATTTGTTTTGTTAAGCACTGGACTTTAAATACTAAGTTTTACATATATGAATTTTTTTAAAAATATACAAACCTGGGGTGATGAGGTGGCTCAAAGTTTTCAGGCACGTGCTGCCAAGGCTGATGACCTGAGTTCAATCCGTGGGATCCACATAGTTGAAAGAGAAAACTGACTTCTAGGAGCTGTTCTCTGACCCCACCATAGGAACTCTATGGCATGTATTCATCCAAGCACATGCATACTTACTCATACACACAAAATAAATAACAGCTTAAAGGTGTTAATGTATTATAACTGACAACTCTATTGTGTCCTACCGATCCAGATCTCTGAACCCTCATTGCTGCTTCTTTTTCTTCTTCTTCCTCTTCTCCTCCTCCTCTTCCTTCTCCTCCTTCTTCTTCCTAATGCTATGGATCAAACTCAGGGCCTCATGCATGATAGGTAAATGCTCTCCTACTGAGCAACATTCCTGCCCCGCCCAGAATCATAGTGTTAAAATCACTTTGACTTTTCCACCATAATTTGATTACTCTTCTTTCATCTCAATTAACTTCTTTTTAAAAATTATTTTGGCTCTTTAATGAATTTATTGTTTATCTAGAACCTTATCATTATCTACTAAATTCCTTTTAAGTTTAATCTTAAATTGAAAGAAGGTCTCACTCTGTATCCCTGGCTAGCCTGGAACTTACTATGTGTATAGGCTGGCCTTGAGCTCATACACATTTGCCTGCCTTTGTCTCCCAAGTGCTGTAATTAAAGCAGGCGCCACCATGCCTATGTCTGATTTTATACAACTTTTTTGTTTCAAATTTAATATTTCTCTGTTGCTGATATAAAGGGTTTGGCAAAACTTCTCTTTAAATGGACCAGGCAGTAAATACTTTAGATGGCATGAACCACATGATTCCTGATAATATGAATAACCTAGATATTTCTATTACAGCACAAAAGCAGCTGTAGATAATAATTTGTAAACAAATAAGCCTACAATATTACAAATAAAGGCAGGCAATAGTTGGTGTGCTATCTACAGATAGCTGAATAGCTGTAAAGAAAGAAAATTTTACAAAGGTATCTTGAATTCTGACTTGTAAGACATTTCCTAATATTATTTTTAGTAAACTATTATTTTTATGAAGGCAAACATAATTTTTCTAACTTTCCAGTACTATAGCAATGCTTTTACTTTTTATTTTACCCTCTCATCAGCTAACTCCTCAGTGAAAGTACTGATGGCTTTGTTAACAGGCTCTACTTTTCCACCCTCAAGTAAGATGTGATTTCCTAAAAAAGCATTCCTTATCATTTTCAACTTTCAGCAATCACAGCTGTATTGGACAGCTTTTACAATACTTCAAATTCAGACTGTTTCATATTGAAGTCATTGCTCCTACTTTTTGATCATCTCTATAGACTAACTAAATGCTCTGAGCTATCCCTCTGTTCCATTGACTCCACTGACTAGTTTGCCGAATGGATACATTCCAACTCTTCTTCATTTATTCAAATTCAAAACAACACAGAACAGGAGCTCTATAAGGACCAAAAATATCTGGACACAGGGGTCCTTTATGAGACTGTATCTCCAACCAAGGACCATGTATGGATATAACCTAGAACCCCTGCTCGGATGTAGCCCATGGTAGCTCAGTATCCAAATGGATACCCTAGTAAGGGGAACAGGGACTATTTCTGACATGGACTCAATGGCTGGCTCTTTGACCTTTCCCCCAACCCCCTGAGGGAGGAGCAGCCCTGCTAGGCCACAGAGGAAGACTTTAAAGCCAGGCCTGAAGATACCTGATAAGCTAGGGTCAGATGAAAGGGAAGGAGGTTCTCCCCTATCAGTGGACTTGGAAAGGGGCAGGGAGAAGATGAGGGAGGGAGGGTGGGGTTGGGAGGGAATGAGGGAGTGGGATACAGCTGGGATACAAAGTTAATAAACTGTAACTAATATAAAAAATTATATGATAATACAAAGTAAAAAACTACTAGTCATTAAAAACAACAACAACAACAACAACAACCCAGAAGAAAATTAGTCTTTCTAGGTCTTAGAAAAAAACTAAATAGGAAATGGGACTTTCACTTTGGGTTTTTCAAGGTGTTTTCCTTTGAGATTTTTCAGTAAAATAAATCATTGAAAAAGCTTTTAAGTCATATATGTAAACTTCATTGGAAGTTGAATGTTTCAGAGAGACCAAGAATAAAAAGAAGCAATAAATAAATGTGACCAGAGTGAAGATAAAGCATGTAATACTTACTTCTGAAAAGTCTTGGTCTAACACTTCAGCATCATTAAAAATATTTATTTGAAATTTGAAAGTTAATAAATATCCATTCTTATATTTAAATACCATTAAACTTTCTTTAAATCAGCTTTGATGCCCTCACAAAAGTGCCAATGAGAGCTATATATTCACGTCCTAGGTAGAAAATGACTCACTGCTAGTATAGAAGCAATCCAAAGTTTTTACCTTGAAATTCACCTTCAAGAATGAAATGAAAACAAACCCAATCAATATGCCTTTGTTTACTTACTTAAATTTCCCAGAAAACTCAACATAGTCTAGCTGTAAAATCATGACACGCCTTAAAGAAGGGGCATGCTCAACAAGACATGGGAAATGTTTCTTCTCAAGAAATCACAAGATCTTAGCAAATAAAAATACTCAGGCAATACATAGTGAATATTTTCATTTAATAATAACACACAGTCCATCTTGGGAACATTGCCCTATATTATACTTATTCATTTATGGTAACAGAAGAAAATACAGTTATAGATACAAATGATACAGACCAATAATCAAAATGATATTATTGTTCAGCATAGACAGTTATGCATATAAACAGTATAAATAGCTATAATCATCAATTTGAGTTAATGTCAAAATATATGGTATATAATTATTTTAAAAGTGAGAATTATCATTTCTAATTCAACCAATTCAAATATTCATTTAACCAAAGAAATAAGCCTTTTAAAAGTTTAGGATTTATAATTTTAGAAATTTTCAATATGATTCACAGTTCTGATCGCTACTGAATTCACTGTACAAATACATTTATCAGTTGCTTTGTGGCTTATAATTAGGAATGACTGATCACTGAAGACCCTTAACCAAAGAATCACTATAATTGTCTGAGGCACAATCCTGATATGATGAATGTAATAAAGGCCAGAATTTTTTAACAAGCAAATGAAAGTTTTCACTTTCACAACTATGAATTTGGTTTTCCAAAATCCAGTTCCAATGTCCAGCATCTAAATCTTTCTATAGGGGAAAGAAATGACTTAATGGTCCTCTAGAGAAAAAAATTCTTTTAGATCTTAGTTTCAAAAAAAATGTTATGAAGTGTACCAAGAATGACACAAACTTACATAACAATATCATTCCATCAAAGTCTATTGGTGAGCTAAATATTTAGGAGGCCAGTGCCATGCTTTGTCTATCGTTTGCTTCTGATAAAGCAGGTGGAATGGCATGTTAACTATTGGGGTAGGATAGGGAAGACATGTAGTTGGGCCTGGCAAGCATTTGAATTTACAGATGGATGAGAGGCTTAGTTTGGGATGGTTCACCAGCTATGTTCATGAGATGGTCAGGAGGGACACTGTTCACCCACACGGTGCTGCTCAGGGCAGGAGGAAAAGGGCCTGACTGCTCCAGGAAGGTAGTAGCTCTTCTTTAGAAATCCCTAGGGCACTTCAGGACTATGGAAGTATAGGATATGAAAACCATTTTATATCAAAAGTCAACCCATCCTAATTAGAGTCCTTTTGAGTTATTCCATTACCAGCTGGGAGTATAGATTCTAGCTTCTTTAAAGAACACAGATGTCTTTAAAGATGTCTGCAAAATGACTATGTGAGGTCAACATATGAACTTACAGTTTACTGTCCCAATGTTATGCCAGAATAGGGCTTGAAAAGACTTGGAAATCTTCCGAGGCCTATGGCCACCTTTCCAAATAAAATCTTAACAAATGTATTTAATACTTTTATTGAACTCTGTAATCCTATAAACCAAACAGCTAAACTAAGGTTGTTTTGTGTAACTTTTGTTTCACTTCAAAATATGGGAGGGTATTTTGCTATTTTTTACAAAGAGCAAATGAAAACAGTTCACTCTGTACCCATTGACACTGCTCTCAGGGAGACTTTAGGGAAAATCAGAAGGCAAACTGCATGGCCAGCAGACCCTTCAACACAGCCCAAACTCCAAGCTGCTTGGCAATCTCAAGTGAGAGGCACAGAAGTCTTTCTTAACTCAAAGCCAGAAGATTCTGAAGAACTCCAAGTAGAATTTCATAACAAAATTGATACTGCTCCTGTACACAGAACAACACAGTGGTAAGTAAAAAGACACCACTGTCTCTTTTTGGAGAATACATCTGTTATTTTTCTCAGTCATATAAGAAAATTCCTCTCAGACAACAAATGTTTATCTACAAACACTTAGGAACTTCTTTATGCAAATATAGATTTTAAAATATGAAGAACATAAATAATCAAAATAAATATCTTGGGCTAGGACTCCTTAACAGAGTATCTAAATGGAAGAAAAATGTCAGCATCCATTTTCTTGTATCTACTCTAGCTAATCTAAATCTAATTCTAAAAGTCTCTCACATTAATTTTAACATTTCAAATATATGCAATTGTTTTTTATTTATGAAACCAAATGTATCTCTACGTACATAGACATATGATATACTATTTATATACTATCAGTTCAGAGGCAACTGCTTTTATTATAAATATTCTCTTTATTTATCCTAGCAATTACAAACTAATTTTTCATATATAAATAACTTTTTTATAACATTCTAATGGCAGATAGATAGACAGAAAGACAGACAGACAGACAGACAGACAGATAGATAGATAGATAGATAGATAGATAGATAGAAAGATAGATCAGTCAGTAGTTGGATAGACAGACAGACAGACAGATAGATAGAAATAGAGACAAGTACACATTTCAAATTACTGTCCAGAAACTTAGTATAGTAATAACATTAGAAATACTGCTTGTGCAGCATGGCATTATGGTCAAGGCCCGTGACTTCAGCTTTACTGCCAGCTCTTATCCTTGTTCTCTGAGTCACCCTATGAAACAGACTTCATTACTAGGAACCTAAGATACTTTATCAAGATTATCGGAGAAAAACAACTCCACTGATATCTACCTGGAAGAGTAAGAATTACTGAGATCACAAAGAGCATTATGAATTGTAAAGTGTTCACCATGCTAATCTTTGTCTTGATTGTTCTTACTTGATTTCTGCAAGGAACACTTACTCTTGTTTGAATCATGCCAGCACGCTGTTTTCTCATCTGGGTCACTATGTCCATAATGTTGAACTGAAATGAGATGAAAGTAACTGAATTATCTAGACTGTGGAAAAACACAAACTCACAGATTGCCAAAGGAGTGTTTTATATCTCTTTCTACTGAAAAGAAATGTCAAGATGTAACCAGAAAGGTCTCCTCTTCAGTCACAGTATACTTTCTAAAGCCCAGCCTAATGACTAAGAAAGACTTCTTTTTAATAGGCCTTTCAACAGGAAGTAGGAAACCAGCATTTATGAGAAGAATGCTCTCAAAGAACTTACTCCCTTCATGCTAACAAAAGGGAGAGCTGAAAGCAGCAGCCTAATTCTAGACAAGCATAGAAAACCTTCCTTGGCTACATGAGCATGTACGTTTCTTATATAAAGAGAATAGAGACATTTAGCAACAGTCACTACACACTCTAGTGTGTGCCCCACAAGTAGAGGTGGCCACAGACTGCAGGTTACAAAGGTCTGCCGCTAGTTCAAAATGACATGGTGCACAAACTTGAAGAACTCTTACACCAACTGGACACGGGTAGCGCAGCACTGCTGACAGTGACCAACTGAGCAGTCTGTGGACCAGTACAGGCCGAGTTAACTCATCTGGAAAGTCACTGTAGTATAAACTCAGTGCAGGCATGCTAACAAAGGCTTTATTGACATGGTATTTTCAGATTTTTCAACTATAATCCCTCATATTTTTATTTTCTGTCTCTCTGTGTCTCTCTGTCTCTGTCTCTGTCTCTCTCTCTCTCTGTGTGTGGGGGGTGTATTCATGCATGTCCAGGTGCATGTACATGTAGAATCTAGAAGTCAATTTTACATCTCACCCCTCCAGAGTTGTTCAGCTTATTTTATGAGACGGTTTTCTTCTAGGATCTGGGGCTCATCAGTGAAGCTAGATTAGCTAATCAGTGATCCCTAGGGATCCACCTCTCTCTGCCTCCCAAATGCTAAGATTACAAGTGAGTGATATGCTCAGCTTTTTATGTGGGGCCTCAAAATTGACATCAGGTCCTCATGATTGCATGGCCAGCGCTTTAATATCTGTAGCTACTGTTTTTCAACGCTCTTTGTGTATTTCAGACACATGGCATTTCTTGGATACATAGTTTGCAAGTATTTTCTCCTAATATTTAGTCTGTCTTTCATCTTCTTCCTAAGGTCTTTCATAGAATAAATTATACTTTCATAGAATAAATTATACAGGAATTAGTCCAAAATATAAAAAGGCATATATACTGAAAAGAAATTAATAAATCTATTTGCAGATGGTGAAAATCATCTATGTAGAAAACGACAAGTAACTAACCCATAAGTAAGACTCAGAATAAACAAGCTTGACAAGGTCACAGGATATAAAATCAACATGCAAAAGTCATTTGTATTTCTACATTTCATTTTTATTGCAAAAACTATGTGAAAACTGAAAGTTAAAATAGCAAATTTCCAATTTCCTCAAAGAAAATGAAACAGGATAACTTTAACCATACACAGAGAATCTTCATTCAGAAAATTGTGAAATTTTTACAAAGAAGGTAAAAAAAGACCTATTAAATCAGGAAATATATAATATATTCAAGGATTTGCTGATTCAATACAGGAAAGATGTCAGTTCTCCCAAAAATTCATATACAGAATTCCCACAGTTTACCACAATACCAGCAGGCAAGCTGTGCTGACCAGCTGTCAGAGGTTAGAGACATAGTCGGGAAGGAGAAATCTTAACCAAGCAATTGGTTTCATTAGCCTGCCCTGCAGTCAATCACTTTCCTGATTGGTGATGGATGTGGGAGGGCTACTCCATTATCAGTTGTGCCATCCCTAGGCAGATCGGTCCTGGGAAGCAAGCTAGTACGCGGCACTCCTCCTGCCTGAGTTTCTACCCTGATTTCTGCCAGTGATGTGCTGTGTGTCACATGGCACTGTAAGCTGAAAAACAAACAAACAAACAAACAAACAAAAACAACCCTTTTCTCCTTGAGCTGCTTTGGTCATGCTTTCTCGCAGCATCAGTAATCCTAACTAAGGCACGAATGAATCATAAAATTTATTTTGGAAAACACAGAATTGGATAAGACAGTTTGAAATGTAAGAATAAAGTATAAGGAATCAACACTATCTAATAGTAAATCATCTACATAGTAGCAGAAATCCAAGGGTGGATACTGGCAGCAAAATAAGACATAGATCAATGGAACGGAGAACAGATCCAGAATAGCCCCATGGGAATACTCCAAATGATTTTTGATAAAGATCTATCAGCAATTCTATGTAGGAAGAATAACCTTTTCAACAACAGCTCTGAAACAACTGGTTATCCATAGCCAATAAGTAAATAGGAGAATAAATTTCAATCAAAATCTCATACTTTACACATTCAATATAGAGTATGGATTTAGATCTAAAATATAAATTTAATTATATTTACATATTTAATTAAATTATCTAAAACATAAGCATAAAATATTAATTTCTTAGGATCTAGGTTTCTAGACTTGAAATTTGAAACATGATGCACAAAAAGTCATTAAAATTAAAACTTCTATATCTTTGGAAGCTTTAAAATTGTAACAGTGCTAGGTAAAATTACAGCAATTAATCTGCAGTCTTCAACCTTAATTTACTGATGGCAAAAGAAGCTTTGCTGATTTACTTTGTCAAGAAAGAACACAACCTTCCAAGTGTGGTTGGGAAATGACTGAGAAGAAATGAAGACTACAAGAGTTCAAACAAATTCCCCTCGAACTGAGGTCTTTGATCCACTTGAACTTTAGTTTTTTGCAGGGTGATAAGTATGGATCTATTTGCATTTTTCTACATGTAGACATCCAGTTAGACCAGCACCATTTGTTGAAGATGCTATCTTTTTTCCATTGTATGGTTTTGGCATCTTTGTCAAAGATCAGGTGTCCCTAAGTGTGTGGGTTTATTTCTGGGTCTTCTGTTCGGTTCCATTGATCCACCATTCTGTTTCTATGCCAGTACCATGCAGTTTTATTACTGTTGCTCTATAGTACAGCTTAAGATCAGGGAATAAAAGACCTCCAGAAGATCTTTTATTGTAGAGGATTGTTTTAGCAATTCTGGGTTTCTTGTTATTCCATATGAAGTTGAGAATTTTTCTTTCCAGGTCTGTAAAGAATTGTGTTGGTAATTTGATGGGAATTGCATTAAATCTGTAGATTTATCTGACAGAGGGCTAGCTAATACCCAGTATATATAAAGAACTAAAGAAGCTGAAAAGCAGCAAACCAATTAATCCAATTAAAAAATAGGGAACAGAGCTAAACAGAATTCTCTGTAGAGGAATATCGAATTCCTTAAAGATATGCTCAACCTCATTAGCCATTAGGGAAATGCAAATCAAAACAACCCTGAGATTTCACCTTACACCCATCAGAATGGCCAAGATGAAAAACTCAAGTGACAACACATGCTGGAGAGGCTGTGGAGAAAGGGGAACCTTCCTCCACTGCTGGTGGGAATATAAACTTGTACAACCACTCTGGAAATCAATGTGGTGCTTTCTCAGACAACTAGGAATAGCACTTCCTCAAGATCCAGCCATACCACTCTTAGGCATATATCCAAAAGAGGCTCAAGTACACAATAAGGACATTTGCTCAACCATGTCTGTAGCAGCTTTATTTGTAATAGCCAGAAGCTGGAAACAGCCCAGATGCCCCTCAACTGAAGAATGGATGCAGAAATTGTGGTACAGCTACACGATGGAATATTACTCAGCAATGAAAAAAAAGGAAATCATGAAATTTGCAGGTAAATTGAGGGACCTGGAAAGGATCATCCTGTGTGAGCTGTCCCAGAAGCAGAAAGACACACATGGTATATACTCACTCATATAGACATGTAATATAGGATAAATCTACTAAAATATGTACATCTAAAGAAACTAATCAAGAGAGAGGACCCTGACTAAAATGCTCAATCCCCATCCTGAAAGGCAAAGAGGATGGACATCAGAAGAAGAAGAAAACAGGAAACAAGCTAGAAACCCACCACGGAGGGCCTCTGAAAGGTTCTGCCCTGCAGACTATCAAAGCAGCTGCTGAGACTTATGGCCAACTGTTGGGCAGTGTGCATGGAATCTTATGTAAGAAGTGGGAAATAGTAAGATCTGGAGAGGACAGGTACTCCACAAGGAGAGTAACAGAACCAGAAATTTGAACTCAGGGGTCTTTCCTGAGACGCATACTCCAACCAAGTACCATGCATGGAGATAAACTATCAGCAATAAGGCACATTGTAAGTGTAAGAAGCTATCAGTTGGGACATGGTGTTGCTTAGATTTGACCAAAGAGAATACATAGCCTTGACAGCTTCTAAAAGAATATGATCAAGGATAAACACACATATTTTCAGCATTTTAGGACATTTGTTTTTTGTTTGTTTGTTTTTAAAATAGCCAGTTTATATTAATTCTTTCTGGTGATATTCTGAGTTTGTCTTGGAAAACTGTATCATTCACATTATCCATTGTTTGGTTTGCAGTAGTCATGACTGGTCTAACTAGGCCAGGCCATCCTTCAGTGTTCAGAGACTAACAATCAGAAAGGTGATATGCTAGGAGATATGGGCCCATGTTTTTGAAAATGAGAAGACTCGTCATCTTTCCCTATGGACTGTTTTTTTTGTTGTTGTTGTTTTTGTTGTTGTTGTTTTGTTTTGTTTTTGTTTTTTTTCTAGCTTCTCCTTGATGTCCTCTGAGGGTAAAGACTGAAAATATTTTCCGACCACAGGGAGGCCTGCCTCTGTTGGAGTAAAGCTGTGCAAAGCCAGAGACTTCAGTATTGATCTTGTCTCACAGGAAGATAACTGCAGACTATGCCTACAAGGACAAATGGCTCTTAACCTGTTTACGCATGGCTGAGGTAAGGACTTCCACATTCTTTATGGGCAGCCATGGGAGCCACCTTCCACAGTGCTGCAATCTAAGAGACACCTTAGTATGCATCCAATATGCACACTAAAGTTCAGGAAATAAGCTATTGTGTCACTCATCTAAAATCTCAATCTGCTTAGGTAGCAGTAAAAATATAGTATACTCACCATATATCAAATTCTGTCTCTTACACTTCAATTTAGAAAAGAAAGGGATTACTAGTGTTTGGTTCATAGCCATGAATAGTTCTCTCTTCATTTTATATATTTTTGTATATTTTATTTTTTTATTAATTATTCACTTTATATCACACCCGTAGCTCTCTCCCTCTTCCCCTGCCAATACCACCCTCCCTCTCTCTTCTCCACGTATGTACGGCCCTCCCCAAATCCACTGATAGGGGAGGTCCACCTCCCCTTCCATCTGATTCTAGTCTATCAGGTCTCATCAGCAATAGCTGCATTGTCTTCTTCCCGTGGCCTCATAAGGCTGATCCCCCTTGGGGGGAGGTGATCAAAGAGCAGGCCAATCAGTTCATGTCAGAAGCAGTCCCTGTTCCCCTTACTAGGGTACCCACCTGGACACTGAGCTGCCATGGGCTACATCTGGGCAGGGGTTCTAGGATATCTTGATGAATGGTCCTTGGTTGGAGTATCAGTCTCAGAAAACACATCTGTATCCAGATTTTTTTGGTTCTTTTGTTCTCCTTGTGGAGCTCCTATCCCCTCCAGATCTTTCTATCTCCCTTTTCTTTTATGTGTTTTTATGTTTTTAAAAAACTAAATTTGAGGGCTAGAGAGATGTCCCCATGCTCAAGAGGACATACTGCTCTTGCAGAGGACTTGAGTTCAATTCCCAGCACCCATGTTGAATAACTCACAACCGCCTGTAACTCCAGCTCCAGGAGGATCTGATGCCTCTATTAGCTCTTGGCATGTGCACATACACACAGTTAAAAATAATATATCACAAAAGTATAAAATAATACAGCTGGTATTTGAGAGAGGATGAACAACTTACATAGTCACCCAAATCTAAAGTATATAGTAAAATTGAAGTTATGCCTAGAGGCCTCTTATTAACCTTGAGATCAACATTTCCCAACATATATGCATATCAGATTTGTTCATTTAAAGCAAGGATACTTCATTGAAATTATCTAGGAAAATACTAAGGCACAGTATCCTAGCTATTTATATAATATTTATAAAGTGTATTTATATAATACATTTTAATCCTCCCAGCCATTCCCAGGAGCCTGAAGCAAACCGAGTGAGAATGAGGTCCCCGAAACTAATGTGCATTTGATGTGCTGCGCTGGTCCAGATCACAGTCTTCCAATAATACCAGGCTGTGAAGAAGCATGTTTAGAGACAGTATCAATTTATCTGCTTTAGCATGTACTTACTGAGTAGTTCTTCTCGATGGCACAAAATGCAACATCCATACATATGAACACCCCAGTTCGGCCTACACCAGCACTGCAGTGAACAAGCAGGGGTCCTGTAATGTGGCTCTTCCTCACATAACGGACATATTTTATGAAAAAATCCGCTGAGGCAGGAGTGCCATGGTCTGACCAATTGGTGAACTGGAAGTGTTTTACACTCTGACTCATTCCTGTCTGTTAGAGAGACAGAGAGGGATTTATTGATTTCTTATATTAAAGATCTCATTTCGGTTTCTAATATAGTAACAACAATAATAATGATGATGGGGATACTGGTATATAGAGTATTCTGAGAAGAGAAATGTATTCAAATGTACAGGAATGTTTATGAAAACTCCAGAAGTTTCCAGAATTAGCTTTTCTCTGTTTTAAAAAGGGAACACAATAATGAGAGCAGTAAACATAAGAATGCTGTCAGGAGGCAGGAACCTGAAACTTGCTCCCCACCAGGTCAGCTGGTAGAGCTTCTCATAGGTTAGCTAATTTAATCCTTACATCAGCCTTAGATAAAATTCCTATTTTGTCTCCACTTTTAGAGATTATAACTGGGAGAATTGAGAAGTATATGCTAAGTCACAGGGCAGACATACTTAGAGCTTAGATTTGAATGCCCTCCAAACCCTAGGCTACCACCTTTCTTCTATATAATGAGGCTGCAGAAAAACCAAGATTTCAAAGTACTTAAGAGTAAAAGAAAAAAAAATGGCTGACACATTCAGAAAGGCCTGTCCATCCTGGCACAGTAGCCACTGCTAAAATATGATAAAAACCCTCTTGATGTCACAAGTTACAAGTCCTAAGTGCCTTTTAAGTCTGGTAATTTTATTTTTTTTAAAAACAAAACAACCTCACACCTGTGAGTTTTTATAAAACTTATGTTCTTTTGCAGAAATAGGGCATTTCATGTTCTACTCAGTCCCTGCTTTCTGTCTACAGCCACACTTTATCCCTCATTGTCCCTTAATAATAAACAAATCTATGTTCCATAAGCACTTAACTTATTTATGTTTCTATATATACACCCAAGGCAATGTCTTCTTCAATTGTCTGATTCTTTTCTTCCTTATCTAGGTCCTTCACTAGATGTGATGCTCCTTTGTAATCCTTTTCCCTATCTCCAGATATCACAAGAGTGTGTCCTATCTCAGCTCTCAAAGCACCCAAGTCAATGTCGGCACCACCAGCAGCAAGAAACTCAGGGGCTGGAGCGCACAGGTGTCTCACTGTTCACTGTGTAGCAGCACAGTGTAGCATTCTTGAAAACTCAGTGCAGTCTGCTACATTTTGCAGAAGCCACTGAAGCCACCACAGAACCAGAAGATCTAGTACCAACATCCTGCCCCACTTTCCCCTTTATGTTTTCTTTTCTCTCCAAAGAAAGTTTGTCAAAGCAGAAGTTAAAAAAAATACAGCTTCGTTTCTAGACTATAAAGAGGTAAAACACTACTTTTTTTTCTTCTAGATACATGGTTTCTCTGTGTATTCCTGGATGTCCTGGAACTCTCTGTAGATCAGGTTGGCCTTAAACTAAAAGATCTACCTGCCTCTGCCTCCTGAGTACTGGGATTAAAGTTTCTTCTTTCTTTTTTTGTCTTTCTTTTCTTCCTTCCTTCTTTCTTCTTTCTTTCTTGACACAGCAAAAGTTACTTCTTTTTTTAATTTATTTTTCTCTCATACAATACATTCCAATCTCAGCCATCCCTCCGTCTACTCCTTCTAATCCCCCGACCTAGTCTCTCCTTCAGATCCACAGTTCATCTATTTCCCTTGAGAAAAGACCAGACTTTCCAGGGCAGGCTTCCCAGTGATAGCAAGTGAACACGGCATACCCTCAGTATACATTTCACCCAGGCCCCAAGACACCAGCTTATACTGTAAAACACGCATCTACTAGCTACATTTTAAGACTTACAGACTTCTTCACAATTTGAAATATTCGAATGATGAAATATTGAGTTATCTGAGAGTTCTTCAGAAAGACACGGAAGTGTTTAAATTCCAAAGGCTCCGCCACAGAAATGGGCCAGTAAGTGTAACACTTGAAAACTCCAAATTCTATCTCTCTGGTTATCATAGCAATAACATTACAATTATTTTCCATAACCATTTGCCAAAAGTCTTGTATAGTATCTGACAGTGGTCCTTGAGTAGCAATATAAAAATACTCTTCTTCACAATTTACTATTTTAATATAACTAGCATTGATGTAGTCCTTGTTTTTTCCAAGAGGAACACGTGTTGAATCATCTATTATAGAAACAGAAACATGTGGTGAAAATAACGGAAGAGTGGGATATGCAGTACCACCAGACTTCATATAGGTATCTCACCCCTCAAAAAATGGCTTGGGAGATTCTTTTCAAATGGGCAAAATTTACATTAATCCCTCCATAAAACCTATTTGTAAATACCTATTGTAAACCTATTTAGAAATACACAATTAGGAGGATTTTAAGAGCATCTTTAATAAATGAAGAAGAGTACCATCAGCGCTGTCCAGCAACCATGGGATTTATGTAAAATACAATAGTTAGACCAAAGATACCGTCCTTTCCAGGGTCCACAACAGTGCAATTGAACAGCAAAGGAGCACCCTCACAGGCAATAGCAAATGGAAGTCAGGGAAATCTGTAGGTTTAGGGCCACAGAGACCAGCATTTTTACAAAATGGATATGATAATAGTTTAGAGACAAATTCTAGTATTAATGGAAGTTCACCAATGCCCTTATTCCAGCCAGGGCAGGTATCTTTTCCAATCCTTTCTCAGCGTCCACTGGGTGCAGTAACGTGGCAATCAAATGAGGTATGTGGCAAAAAGATGCTACTGAGAGTACTGACTCCAAATAGCACAGGGCTTGCTTAACACTGTCAGGAAGTATGAGAGGAAAATCATCATGTTGGCTCTAATGAACTTCACCATTCAGGAGCTCTTGCTTTACTACACACAGACGTTTGCACCTCTGCTCCACCAAGGCTCCCATGTAGGAAGCAGAAGTTCCCACCGCTCAGGATGACATGAACAGCCATTTAGCAACTACACTATGCTTAATGGTCACCAAATCAGGTGTGCGGCTTCTGACAAAATCCTTCTTGAATTCCAACATAGTATACATAATCCTCTTATAAAGATGAATAGAAAAATCTATTGCTAAATATAGGAAGACATCAACTATTTCAAAATGGGAGAAAGAGCACTACATGCCACTAATTGTTGGACCATCTCTCCACCCCAAATATTACTTTGTATAAACATTTTTTTAAAAAGAAAGATCAAATGTGTTAAATAATTTAGTAAACTCTAGCTAACAGAGGCAAACCACAATTTCTCAACTCAAACTTTTGCCCTACTTGTCCCACACTATGCAGCTTCTGCATACATGATTTGTTAACTCTCAAGAAAGACTAAAGTTTGCAGAAGGATATTACTTGAGTTGGGATAACATCAATGAAGAGTTGTTAAGACCTCAGGGCCAACATCATGAAAGTAAACAACTACTTTCTGATTCAATTAATGGTCTGCTCCCCAAGAGGAAACCTATACTGGCACCACTGTCATACAAGAATCTATGGTTAGACAGTTACAGACTCTAGGAGAAAATCTACTACTATTATGGTGCTAACTGGATACAGTACTAAATCAACTCTAAAGACCTATCATTATACCCATTTATTAAATTACCTCTCAGCCCTCATGAAGGAGCTAATATTTATAGCAAATAATTAATGATAAAGGTAGAGACACATGACTGGGCAAAATGCAGAGAATAAGAGACTGCAATGTTCAGCCCTAAGTGAAACATACTCCCTCCTCCAAAGGCTTGGGTGCTATTGCAGAAGAAGGTGCATAAAGATGTAAGAGCCAGGATACAAGATGGCGGTGACCAGCGCGCACCTTATCTGAGGGGCACAGGGTCCAAAACTATGAAATTGGGAGTGGAGGGCGGCTGCAGCCAGAACACTGACACTGAGACTTCCTGGGCAAGAGAGGACAACCCGTGAGCTGGGCCAGTTTGGATCCAGGTCACCCAAAGACATATCAGGGACTGAGAGTGGTACTTCTCATTGCCCCAAGCACAGACCTCCCTGCTCGGCTGAGATAGCAGTGGTTGCCCCAAGCCCAAGTCTCCATGCTCGGTGACTGAAATGGCACAGGTGGATCTCCCAGGGCTGTGGCTGCTGCGGGGCAGCAGCTAGTCCAAGCAGGATCCTCTGTGCTCTGTGACTGAGACAGCACAGGTAGCTACCCCAAGTATAGGGCTCGCTGCCCAGTGGCCAAACAGTGGACAGCACTGAGCTGATGAATCTCCTACACTCTCATTGGCCCCTGCAGGCCCAAATCTGAAAGTAGAGAACAGGGGAAGCCCTACGCATTCTGATTGGGCCTGCGAATGAGTGAACGTGCCTTCAAGTGAGTGCTTGGCAGAGCCCCAGATCCAAGGTTCCTATACCAGAGGAAGAGCCAGATATTGGATCTCTCTACCCACACCCGCAGTGTGAGCAACACAGGGATTCTTGGGACAGCATTCTCAATTGAAGCCCCTCTTCTGTGAGTCCAGACAAACAATTCCTGGAGCCCAGACAGATCTGATTACCAAGAGGATAGTATGACAGGCCTATAGGCCACTGAGGTATTCAGGGTACCTGCACGTGTGCACTGCGCCTGCATATAGAGCCAGCACTCGCACCCCCTCTCAAGCATAAGCTCTAACTTTCCAGGATCAACATGCTCTTGCACCCCCCCCCAGGGCACACTTACACACACACACACACACACACACACACACACACATACACACACACATACACACATACATACACACACACACACACACACACACACACATACATACATACACACACATACACACACACACACACACACACACACACACACACTGGTGTATATGCACCTGCAACCTTCTTCCCTGAGCTACAGCTGGGACAGCAACACCTACTCTCAAACCAGTGGACCTCTCTCATCTTCCTGAAGAGTACTCCAGGCACCAGAGACAGAGAGACACCCAGTCTGAAGTACACACTCCAGGAAAAAACAGCAAAGGTTACTGATAACCAGAAGGCTAGAGGTCAGCATAAGAACACATCTAACAAAAATCAGGACATCATGGATTCACCAGCAACCCCCAAAATCAATAGATATTTTAATTCATCAGAAACACAGGAAAATGATTTTAAAACTATGCGTATCCAGTTATTAGAGGCACATAAAGAGGAAACCAACAAAGCTCTCAAAGAAATACAAGCAAATACAAATAAATAGAGGCACAAGCAGAGGCACAGAGAGAGGAAACAAAGCTCTCAAAGAAATAAAGGCAAACAGCCAAACAAGAGACACAGGTAAAGGTACAAGGAGTGGCAAAAAGAGAGGGAACAAACAACAAATAAGACAGGAATCCACATTCAGATAGATGAAGGAAATGGTATAAGACATAAAAACAGAATTAGAGTCAATGAAGAAAATATAAACAGAAAAAACTCTGGAGCTGGAGAACTTGGAGGAAAGATCAGGAACCACAAAGGTAAGCATCACCAATAGAATACAAGAGAGAATCTCAGGTGCTGAAGATACACTTGCAGAAATTGATACATCTCTCACAGAAAAAGTAAAATTGGAAAAGTTCCAAACACAAAACATCAAAGAAATCAAGGAGACCAGGAAAAAGACAAAATCTAAGAATAATAGTAACAGACAAAAAATAAGATTCCAGGCTTCAAGAACCAGAAATTGTTTTCAAGAAAATCATAAAAGGAAATTTTCCCAACTTAAAGAAAGAGATGCCCATAAACATACAAAAGGCCTACAGAACACCAAATAGACTACACCAGAAGAGAAACTCATGTCACATAATAGTCAAAACATTAAATCTACAGAACAAAGAAAATTATTAGAAGCAGCAAGGGAAAAAGACCAAGTAACATAAAAAGGTAGACCTATCAGAATCACACCAGACATCTCAAGAGAAAATATGAAAGCCAGAAGGGCCTGAGCAGATGTCATGCAGACTCTAAGAGACCACAAATGCCAACCCAGACTACTATACCCATAAAAGCGGTCAATCAACATAAATGGAGAAAACAAAATATTCCATGACAAAATTAAACTGAAATAATATCTACAAAAAAACCCAGTCCTACACAAGATACTTGAAGGAAAACTCCAATCCAACGAAATCAACTACACCCAAGAAAACATAGGATACAGATAACTTCACAACAAAAAAATTAAAAGAAAACAAGCATTGAAACCCAGTAACATCACCAACTCCACAATAAAGGAACTAACATTCTTTGGTCACTATTATCTATCAACATCAATGGATTCAACTCTCCAATAAAAAGACACAGACTAACAGAATTGCTGTGGAAATAGGATCCAACATTCTGCTGCACCCAAGAAACACATCTCTGCAACAAAGATAAAACTACCTCAGAGTAAAGGGCTGGAAAAAAAATTTTTTGCAAGCAAATGGGCCCAGAGAACAAGCTGAGGTAGCTAGCCTAATATCTAATAAAATAGACTTTTAACAAAAATTAACCAAAAAAGATGAGGAGGGGCACTTCATTCTCATCAAAGGAAAAATCCAACAGGAGGACATCACAATCCTGAACATCTTTACTCCAAAAACAAGAGCACCTATATTTGTAAATGAAATATTATTAAAGCTTAAATCACACATCAATCCTAACACCTTAATAGTGGAAGACTTCAACAATCTACTCTCACCAAGGGACAAATCATCGAGACAGAAGGTAAATAGGGAAATAATAACTCTTACAGAAGTCCTAAATCAAATAGACCTAATAGATGTCTACAGAACTTTTCACCCAAACTCAAGAGTACACATTCTTTTCAGTACCTCATAGAACCTTCTCAAAAATTGACCATGTACTCAATTGTGTTGAGGCATAAAGCAAGCCTCAACAGATACAAGAATATCAAAATATAATCCCTTGTATCCTATCAGACCACCATGGTCTGAAACCAGACCTCAACAACAACAGAAATAACAAAAAGCCTACATACACATAGAACCTAAACAACTCTCTACTCAACGACAGCTTGTTCAGGGAAGAAATGAAAAAAGAAATTAGAAACTTCCTAAAATTCAATGACAGTGAAGGCACAACTTACCCAAAATTATGGGACACAATGAAAGCAATTCTAAGAGGAAAGTTCATAGCACTAAGTGCCTCCACAAAGAAGTTTGAGACATCTCATACAAGCAAC